GGCATGAATCTCACAATAAAAGGGAATGGTGGAACAAAGCTACTTATCTCATGGTGAGGTAACCAGGAACTAAAGGAATGAGATAGCATCAGAAAGAAAGAGCCAGGGACCAGATGGTCACACCTCTATGACCCACAAAGAAACATTCAGAAGTGTGCTCTACTAATTCCCTAGGCAAACTCCAAGCCAATCAAGTTAACAAGCTTCTCCATCTCAGCAGGTGATCCCAGGTGTCAAGTTCAAATTGAGAACCACTAAGGAAATGGAACTTGGCTTTGAAACTATACAGTACACACCTGGGCATAAAATTTGTGCAAAGTATTTAACCTCGCTTAGCCCAAAACTTTTACCAACACAATGGGAATAACATATTCCCAAAGTTGCTATAACTGAGAATATATAGAAATCTCTCAATAAAAGTTAATTCTTTTCCCCAAGGTAAAACTGATCAAACCATCATTACTAAGTATAAGAAATGCTAAATCAATCATCAGTTCACATCTTTGCTTGTTACCTGATTACCAGATTTAATACCTGCACTGGAGAAGTTCAGAAATGATAACTTTTTCACTTTAAATTCAAGAGTAACTGAACTACAGTGGGAAATCTAGTTTATCTGTGCTGTGGCTCTCAGACCTGGCTGCAAATAGGACTCACGTAGGAAGCTTTTAAAACTGCAAGGTCTAGACCTCATCCAAGCCAATTAAATCTGAATCCCTGGGTGGCTCCAGAGAGCATCAGTATTTAAAAAAAAAAAATGGATTGAAAATTCAACAACAGAGTCAGAGCTAAAAAGCACTGATTTGCACTAATGATATCCCATACTAACTGAATGTCTGAGTCACTAGGGAGCTCCTTAAAAAAGAGATTGCAGAATCCTACTAGGGTTTATTAATTCAGAATCTGTGGAAGCGGAGCCTCCATCCTGTAAGACTTCATAAACTCCCCTCTGGCGCTTCTGATGCAAACTCACTGGGGAGCCACTGCTTTATCTCAGGCATTTACTCTCCCTGTTGTGCATTAGAAAAGATTGTTTTGAACTTTTATTGGTTTCAAATACCAAACCACCTACTTGCTTTGAATCAATAGCTGAAAGAACCTGTCACAGTGACTTCAAAGACTTTATAACTCTTTCTGGACATTTTCATTTGCAGCCCAGTCACCCACATCATCTACCATATGTTATACCCATCACTGGCTATATAATCCATTGGTCTTTCGAAGCAAATGTCTCCAGCGGGGTGCTGCTGGTGAAGTGGGGGAACACGATGGAATCACACTACTCCCCAAGCTTTGTGTTCCTGTTCCAAGTGACAGGCAATGCCAAGACTAATGAAATGAACCTATTGGTCTGCTGATTCTGAATGAAACTTAAATTTTTCTCTGCACCTAGAAACAAGCTACTATCTGTTTGCTTCCCTCAGAAATATAATAAGAAACGAAAGTGACCCCTGAGGGTAGAAGTGACACAGTGTCCTATAATCTTAAAATTCTACCTATAGGGGCTGGGGATTTAGCTCAGCGGCATAAGCGCCTGCCTTGCAAGCAGGCAGTCATGAGTTTGATCCCTGGTACCAATAAAAAGGAAAAAGACACACACAAAAAAAAACTCTACCTATACACATGAGTAGGAAGCCTGGAGAAGGGTTTGGCTGGAACTAATCAATCAGTACACATGCTGCCATCACGCCAACATATTAAGTGTATTAACTCATGTAATATTCACAATTATTCCTATCAGGCAGGTGCTATTATTATTCTTATTTTATGAAAAAAGAAACAAAGCCAAACATAAGTTAAATGCTTGAGTCAAAGTCATAAAACTAGTAAATGACAGTTTTTGAACCCAAGCAACCTACTTTTGGAGTGAAACATCTTTTCTTTTCTGTTTTTTGTTTTTAAGACAGGGTCTTCTTATGATCTGGGCTGAACCCAAACTCATGATCCTCCTGCCTCATCCTGGGTGGCTGCATTGCCAAGCCCTAATCCATTAAGTCCTCCACTACAGTACAGGTGAGTATGCCCAAGCCGCCCAACAACTACAACCACAACAACAAAGTTAAACAATTCTGATCAAATCATGTGTATCTTGGGTAAGTGGCTTAACCTCTCTGAGTACTTTTATACCTGATAAACAGACATAAATAACAGTACTGCCAGGGCCGAGGGTTTAGCTCAGCGGTGTAAGTGCCTGCTTGGCAAACGCTAGGTCGTGAGTTCAATCCCCAGCATCCAAAAAAAAAAAACAACAGTACTGCCCTTGATAGAGCTGGGGTGAGGTGAGGATTTAACAAGATTATGCTAAATGCTTGGCTTTACAAGCTCAATGTCGGCCATTATAATTTGCATATTAATACAGCCCAAGTGGCCCAGAGAAATGACAACCTATTAAACGGAAAACTTTCCCTGGTGATTGTAGATTGTAGATCTGGTAATGTTAGATTCTGTATCAGTGATGAACCAATACATCAGATCTAATACAAAATGCAGTAGTAAAGATTTTCACAAAATCTTAAGAACTGTCACTGTGACAAAGTTTAAATCCATCCAGTGCACAGTGATGGATCTCAGATGCAAATAGCATGAATTATGAAGCTGTATAAATGTAACTTCACCAGGAGCCAAGCTTTCAAGGAGATATAAATTGCAGTTGATGCTGAATTGAAGAATACACTGCAGGAGAAGATCCAGAGAGGTAGTAAATATTAGCCCTTCTCAGTCACACTGTATAAAGAGATAAGAAAAAATAAGAACTCAAATGAGAGGTGGTGGAGCCACACATGGTGACAATTCCAGCATTAGGGAGGTGGTGGAAAGAGGATCTAAGAGCTCAAAACCAGCCTTGGAATAAGCAAGTCCTTTAAGTAACTACCTGCCAAATTTGATAATAAAGATGAAAAGGACTGCTTCCTTTAAAAAGCACTCGCCAAGATCCTGAATTCAATCTCTAGTACTGAAAAAAAAAATTAGTGTGACTGTACCAAAAAAAACAAAACAAAAAAAAAGAGGCGGCAGCGCTCATTATGCAGCCGGCACTGTCCCCACTGCTTTTCATGTACCACCCATTTCAGGTTCACAACACCCCTCCAGGGTTAAACGGAAACCACACAGGCTGGTGTCACATACCACTGCATTTCACAAACGCTCACGCAGCACAGCCTGCATTTCACTCCATCTCCCAGGTCACCGCCCCTCCCCAGGATGAGGCCACAGGGATCTCCCCAGCACACTCTTCTCCTGTCCCGCTGCCCCTTACTGGCAGCCAGTACCTCTTCACAGGCAGACCTCCCTCTACAACCCGATCTGGACCTGCTGTCTCAGCTTCCCCTCTAGTTACAACAGAATGTGCCCTGTGCCTTCCAAAACAAACTCCCCATCTGTTCTAGGTGGCCTCCCCTCTGGTGTCCAAGGACTCCCTCCTACATGTAACAGCCTCCTCTTTCACTTGCATTATATTTCCCTTCCTTTTAATTCAATCATGGTGGCACCCAAGGAGCTGGGGATTTAGCTCAGCAGCATAAGTGCCTTCCTTGCAAGTGTGCGATTGTGAGTTCGATCCCTGGTACCGATAAAAAAATGAAAAAGACAAAAAAAATACATACTCATCGTGACACCCAAATATGTTCTGTCTTAAAAATCCATTTGACCAAAAAGCCCCATTTTTCCATTAAAGTTATTAAAATCCTCCTGTCAGAAAACCTTAAGCAGTAGCACTCAACACAACTGACCACACTTTCCCCTCCCTCTTTGTCTTTTTCTTTGTGGACCCTCTCCATGTAGGTGTTTCCATCTGTGCCTTCGTTTAAATGCCATCCATTTGGTTCCAAGGGTTAACTCCAGCCCTGACATGGCCCACAACTCTTCCCATTCAAATCTCTAACGGCTTATTTAATAGCTCGATGTATGGTGTGTTTTACACCAAAAATAAATCTACCATGTGACTGATGGATGGAGAGGACAGACAAATGAATCGATACTGGAAAAAAACAAGAGTAGCTGCATGTTAATGTTAATTTCTCCCATCAATTCCAATTATTTTGTATGTACAAAGTGTGATCACAAAATATGGTGAGTGCTCAAATTTTTTAAAATTTATTACTGTAAGATATATGAGCACTAACCCTTTCAAAACATACCTCTTGCTTTACACAGGCATCCATCATCGCTCTCGTCACTGTCCGAAAGTTCTGGAAGTCCTATTTTGTGTCTTTACGCAGTGTGACCAAAATTACACTGAATGCTGCTACCAAATGCCATCCAAGAGAAAGGGAGGCCCACAGAACATTACTGTGTGTCCCCACTTGCCTCACTCACTGGTTCTGACGCTGTGCGACATCTGGCTCTTCCCCAATGTCGAGGTGGTCACAAAGGGAAAACGTTTTGAATCCATTCGAGACACTGAGACATCAGAGCCAAAGACACGCAGGAAAGAGAACTTCCAGAACTGCCTCAGAAAGAGGCAAAAAGGGTGGGTTAGGCGAGTTCGGGGAGCGGGGAGCGTGGGGGGAGGGGCTGAGCACATCTTGCCCCGGATTGAGTGTCCCGTTCTGAGACCTCCTCCGGGATTGAGCATCCCACACAGGCTGTGTGTGAGGGTGGGGCTCCTAGGTACCCACACTCTGACCCTGGAAACGCGGGTACTGAGCCCACGGCTCCACCAGGGAAGCCCAGGTGACCCTCCCCCAGAAACGATCCCCCCAACCCTCCCCCAGAAGACGACCCTCCCCGCCCCCAGAGGGCAACTTTGCCCAGGACTCAGGCGCGGACCTGACGCCCCGAGAAGCCCGTGCCCTCGGTGCCCCTGCCCTCACTCCGCGTCTCGGTGGAGTTCGGGGCTGACTAAGTGTCCATCCGGGCAGCTCCTTCCCAGGTCCCCACCTCAGAGCCGCCAGCCTCACACCAGGCCCAGCCTCATACGCGGCCCCCCCCACCCCCTCGCTCGCCCGGCCTCTCGGGGCCCACCTACCCCACCTGCCGCCCGCTGTCGCCTTCGCCCTCACCTCCGCCCGGGCTCTGCAGTCACCTGTCCTCACACATCGCCTGCCTTCGCGCGCCGCGCGGGATTCCAACGGAGCACAGCTGCCTCGCCCGTCGTGTCCCCGCCCCAGCCTCGCTGTCATCCAATCCCAGCGGCACCCAGGAGCATGCGCATTGGGGCATTGCCGGTAAGCAGCGCCGCCCCCTGCCGGTCCTCTGAGGCACTGCCACGCCAATGCTGTCTTTTCCTGGGCCAGGCTCACATGACAGCTGCTCTCTGCCGGCCACACTCCCTTTTTGGAACCCCTGAGGACTGTATCTTCAGGGTTAGTGGCCTAAGCTGTCTGTTGTGTGCTTGAGGAGCTGGGGTGGGGAGTCAGACAGTCCATTGCACACGGATTCATCCATGAAAATGTGAAGGCAGAGGCTGCTGGGTCAGCAGAGGCGGTCTCTGCTGGGATGGCCAGGTGTGACCATTGCCTGGGCCTGGGAAGCCAGGATATTTTATCTGGACAAACAGGTGGCCCTGACCTCAGTGGTAGTGGAGGGTCCGGTTCCCTCCAAGCCGTAACAAGCTCTGCAGCACTCAGCCCCAGCCTGCAGTGCTAGTCCACGTGATTCCGCCACACTGGAGGTGAGCCGCGGGGCCATCGGGGTCCAGGCATTGAGCATAGTGTGCCCTCATCTCCCTGCAGTGCCGGGATGTTCTGCAGGAGAGCTATGCCTGCGTGGTGCAGGGAGAGGGATCCCCCTAGAGGTGGGCCTGTGTGTAATGAATGGGGTTCTTTGTTGCGTCACAGCGCCTACCTCAGGGTTCTGCACGTGGCGTGGTCGCCGTTTCACAAACGGGAGTACGATAAACAAATCAAAATGTTAGCCAGGGCACGCTGAGGCAGGGGGGTTGCCACGAGTTCAAGGCCAGCCTGGGCTACAAAGTGAATTCAAGGCCAGCTTGAACCATAGAGTGAAACCCTGCCTCAAAAAAGACCCCCTAAAATATCAAAACATTACAGATCATGAGGTCTCTAAATAGATGGCGACGCAAAGGACACTTCCGGGAAAAATTTCCACTCAGGAAATCCCCGCACAAACACTAAATGTAAGTGCTGGGTGGGTCGGGACCCTAAGGACCCCTCCCAGCTCTGCCAGACTTCCTGTTAGACCCTGCAATGATCCTGGAGCTCACGGACCCGGAAGGTTCTTCCTGGGTGTCTGGCTTTTTCACCAGTGAAAGATCCAAAGAACTGTGAAGTTGAGAATCATTCTCAGATCACCACTGTTCTTTAGAAGCCTTGTCAAACCTGTCTCATGCAGGTTACCAGTAGTGTGAGGAGTCCTGCAGGCTGGCCGTATGTCACTGTGCTGCTTCTGATACCTGGTAACCTCAGGCAAGTTACTTCCCAGATTCTCTCTCAGTTTCCCTGTTTTGAAAAGGGGGATGTGGAGTTGTGAGTGCTTCAAGAAACAGAGGACAGGAGCATCCCACACCATGCCTGGCAGGCACCCTGCTTCCCCTCCCGGGAGGTGTCACCTTCCACTTCTCAAGGGTGCTGACCTTCCACATGTTGCTCTGCCCACCCGCCCTGCCCTCACTGTCTGGGTCTCCCTGAGCCAAGGACCCACTGTGGTCTCCCTCTCTGTCCTGCTGGGGTTAGGACTGGACACTTTCCATACCTCAGGTTGCATATATTCATGCACCAGTGATCCCAAAAGCAGAGGCCAAAGACCTGCTTGCCAGTGCCCCTCACTTCATGGCCCAGGACTCGGCCTCACAGAGCTTTCCCCTGCCTCGATCCAGGCGTCAGTTCTGTCTCTCCGGGTCCAGACTCTAGTCCCTTTTCCTGCCTGGGTGAGAAGTCCCCTGGTTGGTGTCTGGGAAAGCAGCAATGAGCACTGAGAAGCAATGTTGGCTTTAGAATCTCAAAGTCTTGGCGGTCCCTGCCCCTGGGCAGAGCACCCACAGTCCCCCTGGGGTGAGCCCTGAAGCCAGCCAGTGTCTGCTGCCTGCTGAGCTGGGGCAGGCAGGCGTGCCCTCTCAGGTGTGAAGAGCTGTTTGTCCTGATTGCCTCTCATCCCAAGCCATGGGGCACCAGAGGCAGTCAGAAAAGACCCCAGGGGTCAGCTTGACACAGGACCTCAGGACACTAAGTCATTCTTCATAGCACTGGACTTAGCATCGTTTCCTCAGCCCATGCTCGGGTTCAACATTTTCTCATCCAGGCCCCGAACCTGGAAGAGCAGATAAAGAAAAGCAGCCACTCTGGTGACATTACCCCACTACAGTAGTGCAGGTCCATGCCTCTGTGTGGCTGCCTGGTTTCTTTCAGGATAGAATCTTCACACCTAGTCCTAGGTGTGAGTAGATGAGGAACAGGCACTTGGAAGAAATTGTGTGGCCTATATGTTTCTACATACCTACCAGTATTGAGACACTTTGCGTCTAAAAAGTCCATAAAAATAAATTGCACTAAGTCCAGTGCCAATAAAAATCCCAGTGGAGGCTGCAAACTTTCATTTAAAGAGCAGAAAGACACGCACTTACCTCGCTGTGAATTCCTGGCTGCCAAGTCTCCACGCCTGGCACAAGGCAGATTCCCCACAAATACAAATTGATTGACCAGGTATTTGCCACTCACCTGTCTGCTGCTTTGGCCAGCCCATCCCTCTGCCCGCACACCCCTGGCTGGAGGAGGGAGAATTCCTAGGCTTGGGCTGGAGAGAGCTGAGGATGGCAGGAACCCTGTCGCAAACTCTCCTGCATAAATGTTCTGCTTTCCAGCTCCAGCTCTCCTTTTTAACTGTAAAATAATAGTGTGCAGAAAGCAAAGTACAGACTGCCAAAATTGTAAGAGAGAAGCCGATTCATGCCTTTGATCCTAGGGAACGCTGCTTGCCCTGTGCCCAGCCTTGTGCTTTATAAAGAGGACACAGATGCTGCCGTCTTACTGTATCCTATTAGCTGCGCTTAATAGGGTGTGTGCAGAAACATGTTCCTTTGTCTCCTCCCAGTGTTACTCAGACTCATTGTCCAGATGCCTTTCATTCCTGGGTCCTTACATATAAGCACCCAGGACAGTCTTGTTGCTATTACCCTCCCTCTAAGGCTCCCTCTACCTAATTGCTAGGCTCTTTCTGCCTCTAGGCCTTAGAAAAAGGCACCATGGTGTGTTCTCCTTCCTCCCCCAGCTTCACGGCCACATCCTCCCTGACGTGGGCTCACGGTCTGACAGCTGGTGGGGTCTCCTGGTCATTGGCCCCTCTGGGCGAACTGTGAGTTCCACTGCTGTGGCTTCTCGGGAACTGGCCTGCAGGAAGTCTTTCCGTGCAGCTCCACTGCCTGGGTGATGGTGCCTGAGGCCAGGGACTTACAACACTTCTCTCAGCCACCAGAATGTCATTTGTGCCATGACAAAGTACCCAGCCAATGGGGAGGTGGAGGCTGACTGTCTGCATGGTTTTGTGCCCGCTGTCGCCCTGCTCAGGGATGAAGAGCCATCTTTTGTGATTCAGGAGGGTGAGTCTCACCAGTGCACCCCCAAGGAGCTGGGGCTCTGGCTCTCTCTCCAGTTTAGGTCCAGGTCACCCTGTATGTCTGACGGTGACTCCAGGAAGCGCCTTGCCTGTAGGCCCTCTTGGCTCTTGCTGTGATCAGAATGTCTCTGCCATCATCCCCAGATATTTACGTTGAAACTCAGTCCTCAGTGTGAGTATTAAAAGGTGAGTCCCTTGGGAAGTCCCCAAGTCATGGTGGCAAAACTCCTTTCAGTAGAACTAGTGCAGTGTTCAAAGAGGTAGGAGGGAGCTGTTCCCCCTCTACAACAGCAACTTCTGCTGCCCTGTGCAGACCACAAAAGACTCCATCAGTGAGAACCTGTGCCGTGGGAGAGCTGTTAGCATAGACCAGTCACATCGTGTCTCTCCACAGTGTCAGAATTTATTGGTATAACAATAAATTCACAAGCAACGTCTGTGTGTCAGCTTTATCTCATCGTCTCACCTGATAACCATGAGCAATGCGATCGCAATTGCTTTTACTCCAATATTAATTACCGAGCTTCGTGACACTCAGACATATCACACTGCCCACCATGACGCACAGGTTACAGCGTGGCTCAGTTCGTGGTGACGGCAGGATCCTTAGAGGCAGGGCTGAAATCAGAGGCGGGGAGCACACAGCTGTGAGAAGTCCCCGAGGGTGCCCAGGTCTGACACCAGACCAGGCAGAGCTCGTCCTGGCACCAGGCTTGCTGGGCATGCAGGACTCACACAAAGCCCGAGTTCGGACATTGAGTGGCTCAAGCATGGAGATGGGGCTGGGGACAGAGCTGGAGTTCAGCCTGTCATCCTCATGATGCATCCCCAGGATTCTGATGAGATGACAGGTCAGTGTGCGTCTCAGCTGGCCGCAGTGTTGGGGTCCCTCCTCCTACTCACATCTTTCATTGGTCTGGGGGTCCCGTAGCTCACAGGTCTGGTCTCTCTGATGTGGCTTTGATCTGTCGTGTGTCCATGTGCCCCTGCTTCCTCCTGATAGACTCCAGGAGGTCACTCTTAGTACCGTGATTAATGTGGGGATTGTGCTGTGCAGCCTGGGTGTTCTGTCTGGTCAGTGTGGAGCGCCCAGTGTCTGGCAGTGATCTGTCCACACGGACCAGTCACCATGTCACCCTGCCTCAGCCACTTCACCTGAAATGGAGCCAATGGCTGCTTTATGAAAGAAGCCACTCAGGGTAAGGCACAGCCTGGGCACTACTGCTCTGTGCAGTCCAGGGTGCCTCACAGTGGGCACAGCCTGTTCTACATAGATCCATGACAAACCCCACATTGACTGGTCCCTTCAGCTTGGGGTCCTCAGCCTCCTGACTGTGAGAAATAAATTTGCATTCTTCATAAATTCCCTAGCCTAGGGTATGGTGTCGGAGCTGTAGGAGTAGATTAAGACAGCTGTCTAAGAAGGGCTTCCGTATCCTTGGAGATTGGCATCACTCTCCTGGGGCGGTCCTTTGTCCGCCTGCAGTGCTAGCAGGCATATTGTCCAGCTGTCACCACTCTCCATGATTTTAGTCCTGCTCACCTGGCCAGCAGTGAAGGATCAGCACCCCATTTCCCTGTCCTCCCCCAGGTGGGGAAAGGGAAATGCTGTGGTGTTACAGTTTATATTTAGATGCATCCCCAAAACCTCATGCTATCATAGTGAGGGCTGTGGAGAGCTGACTGGATATTCATAGTTTAAAATTAACTGTGCTGTTAGGGTGTGCGGTCTGCTCAGAAAAAATGGGTCATTAGGAGGCGTGACCCAGAAGGGTCTGTCTCCCCCCATGGCCCCCTTTACTTTCTGCCTCCTATGCTGTGACCAGCTTTCCCCACCATGCCCCTCAGCCGTGCCACCCCACCTTGGAGCCAGCTGACTGTGAACCAGAATGGGAGCCTCTCCTTCCTTGATTGGCAGGTATTTGAATTTTGTCCTAGTGATGAGAAAAGTAACTAAGACTACATTCTGCTCCTTTCCAAGGAATTTTTCCACTCTGGGGCTCCTTACCCTCTGAAACTTGATGAGCTATGGGTAGATGATGACTGCACTGCTAGCTGGCTGGAGGCAGTGACTCCTAAGGCCTGAGTAGTCAATGGGGAAGGGACAGCATGCTGTGTGAGAGTCTTCAGCACGGAACAGCATAGGAAAGCGGGTGAGGATGCTCTC